CCACTCAGAACAGATACACACATTTCTGATTTCTTCTAGTTAATTCTATTCTTTGTTTAAAAGGTTTTTTTTTTTTTATTTATTCTGAGAGAGAAAGAAAGAAGTACCTCCAATAGGTTCCTCCTTCTATGATCCACCTTCAGTCTTAACTAGCTTGGATCACAGGCACCCATGTGTGTGCCTGGAATGCATAGGGAAGTCCCAGGACATGAACTCGAGATCTCCGCATGTGAGTCCATTTGCACTACCTCTACACTACTGCCTAGCCCTCTACTTAATTCTATCATATTTCACTGCTCAAGCCCCATAGCACTGTGGTTAAGTTCTGTGCATCAGAAGCTGGATCCCACATGGCTGATCATAGTTCAAGTCCCATCCCAGGCAGCTTGGAAAACACGCTGGGCAATGTGCATGCATGCCTAAGCCTCGATGGAATGAAGAAACTGGAGAAGGGATTGTGGTGTGACTGGTCTTGTTCTCTCTCTCTCTGGCAAGTGCATATACCCTCTGGCAATTAAAATTTTAAATAAATTTTAAATATGTTTATATTAACACATTAAATTGGCTTTATGATTAAAGGTTGTAAAATATTGCTCTAGTAGATACCTTTTTAAACCTTCTCTAGAATTTTAAGTCATATATAATTCCTAAAAATTAATTTTTGCACAAAGATTTTATATCCTACCAGTAAAAGTAGGATACTATCAAATAATCAAATAACCCCAAAGACAAACATAAAGCCATGGCAGCTATCATCTGAAGAGTAGGAGAAAGCTAAACCTAACCTCCATTAGCTTTCCTGCAAGCCTCCCCAAGTAAATACCCAACCTAAGAAAAACAGCTTTTGCTAAGCAAAAACAGCTTGGCAGCAAGTACCTGGCACCCAGGCTCCCTTCCAGCCAGACTGGTGGCCCATAAGTGGGAGTTTCCACATATAATTTATATATGTGTGTATGAGGTTTTTGCTATAGGGCATATGCACTCACCAGAAAGACAGAGAGAAACGGAGAGACAGAACGTGAGAAATCACCCCCTAAGGGGATGGCCATGCCACAATCCCTTCTCCATTCTCCTCTCAGGATCTTGGGCATGCACACACAGGTGCCCAGTGAGTTCAAGCCACCAGGTCCGGGACTCAAACCGTGGTCGACTACATGGGAGTCCAGCGACATAGACGTTACACCAACTGCTGGTCCCTACAATTACTATTTTTAAATTATTTCACATATAGAGACTTCAAATGTGTGTGGATAACAATGACGTTACTAAAATAAGTAAACAAAAATCAAATAAACTCTTTTAAGTATATAGGTTTTGTTTTGCACATACAAAATCTCTCTGAAATCTGCCAATCTTCACTTAAATTGGGAAGTTACTGATTTATACCAGCTCCAAATAAAGGAGGCAGCAGTGGATCATTAAAATTAGGTATCTCTTTTGGTCTGCCCTTGAAATTCTAAGGCTGGGGGAGCTGGTGGTGTGGTAATTAAGATGGCTAGATCCCACATGGCTAATCATGTGGTTCAAGACCCAGATCTGATGGCTTCAGAAATACGCATGCTTGAGCATGCATGCATGCATGTCTAAAATCCCAAGAGAAAGAAGGGAGTGTAGTGTAACCATCCTTCATGGAAGGCGCTTTCTCACTTACCCTCTCTCTCTATGTCTCTCTCCAGCAAATGCATGTGATCTCTGGCAAATTACAAAAAAAAAAAAAAAAAAAAAATACTAAGACAAAGCCAGCATAAAACTCTTCCTCAACATGAGGTGTTTGCCCAGCCCTTCTCACTAAAAGAAATGTGATAACAATCATCACTCACCAGCAGCAAGCTAAGGATAAACAAACTCCCTTGTCCAGAGTTCTTTCAAGGAATGTTTCCCTGACAAGTTGAAGAGTTAGAAACACGCAGAAAAACTGGAAAAGCCCTTTCCACCCTCTATGTCCACAGGCAGTCTTCAAGCTCTGAGAATGCAAACTAAGTACAAGAATGTTCATGTGGGTTCTTGGGCTTACCAGTATCACCATTCCTCACTCAAGAAGTTTAAAGGACTTTGTTTTTGTGATGTTTGCCTCAAATTATGAGACAATTTTATAACTTAAAATCTTCTAGGGGCCAGCAGATGGAGTAGTGGTTAAGGGTGCTGGACTCCCACATGGCCGACTGTGGTTCGAGTCCCAAACCTGGTGGTTTGCCTTCTCACATTCTCTTTCTCTTCTGTCCCTTTCTGGTCAAAATAGAATAAATAGATAAATAAAGCTAAATAAAATAATTCTTTAAAAAAACTTCCTGTCTACCCAAAAAGTTCTGTTGAGAACTAGAGAAAGATATTCTTATTATAAAATAAGAACAATCAAATGCAATATTCCTGAGAAAAGGAAGAAAGCCATACCTACAATTTATTAGCTTTATCTAACTAAAAGAACTTTCTGTGATGATGGACATGGTCTAGCTTTGTGCTATCTTATACAGTGGCCACTAGCCATCTAATATTGAGTATTTGAAAGGTGGCTGGTGTGACTGAGGAACTAAATTTTAAATTTTATTCCATTTTAATTCATTTAAAGAGTCACATGAAGCCAGTAGCTACCACATGGGACAGGATGGGCTAGAGAATCAACCTAATTCCTCAGCAACAGAGCTGAGTACTGGAATCATCTTACGCTGAATGTCACAATTTGAAAAAAAAAAAATTCTATTCCAATATTCCATTTTCAGCTTTCTAATTGATATTTAAGCTTTCCTCATAAGTCATTTTTCAGCAATTTTGGCAATTTTTATTCTAAAACAAGAACATATTAAATCTGTTGAGCAGGATTCCTTTAGCAGCATTCAATTTTCCATCTGTGAAACTTAGATATGGGAAAAGAAAAAACATGTATAAGCCCCTCCTCCTCTTGATAAAAAGGGATGAGATGAAACACATAATCCAAAGAAAGGCTACTAGAACCCCTGAGATTCTTTTATGGTACACCTATCCATTAACCCCTCTAGGCTTGCTTCTTTAAACCTAATTTTGTATTCCTTTCAACAAAATTCATTCCTACATGTTTGACCTCCTGACTGTATTCTGTTATGATCAGACTACAACCAGATCCTTAAACGTCAAGTATTCTACCTACAGAAAACGATTTAACATACACACATTAAACTATTCTATATTTAAGTAAGACGAACTGATCAAGTTGCGTAGCCTGAAGAAGAGCAGATGCTTCCAAGAGACTAAAATAAGCAGATCATGCCAAGACCACTTTCAAAGCAGGTGGCTAAGAAAACTCTACACAGTTCTACAGTCAGCAAGGAAGAGACACCCCCAAGAAAATATGCTTTAAAAAATTCTGCAGCCATGCTATGGCTATGAAATAACTAACCTTAATTTCAGGCAGCATCACTGTAATCTCAAGGTCAGTGCCAAAGTAAATTTTTCCACCTTCCCACCATGCTAACCCTTATCCATAAATAAAATATACCACAAGAACATGCTCAAACATTTCAGCTATTTCATTGTGTTTACGGAGAATAAACTTCTAGAACTTGTTCCTAAAAATACTATGAGCTCATGTAAAATGAGCAAACTTCTCTATACTGTATGAAGAATAAACTCACTAGTACCACACAGTATCTCTGGGAATGCTCAAACTATACCAAGCAAAGCAATTCTAAGATAGCAGTGCAATTCAGGTAAGAATTCACCACCAGAGACTTGAACTTCATCTTTCTCTGCCACTGCTGTTGCTACCATCAGGTCCTCAAAAGGACTAGAAGCTCATCTACTGTATCCAAAGAGCACTGGAATCTCAACAAGACACATGACAAGAAAGCAATGTATACATTATCCTAGTAGCTTCAGCTCTTGCAGAATAATGAATGGCTTTTCTGGAAGGAGAAGGGGCTTCATATGTGGCAACTGAGAGCACTCAGACAGCAAGAATGTTAGATCCCATAAAAGCTGCATACTTTCAGTTCTTTTCCCCGGTGTATAAGTAAAATCTACAGATGCAGACTGGGCAGGAAAGAGGGAGACAAGAGAATTTCAAATGGAGATCTGATGTGTAGCTCGACCCTGGGATATCCTTCTCAGTCTTTCAAGCTATGAGCTACAGACTGCATTGACCACAGCATCTGCAGCATGATCTCTATCTACAGAGCCTGTCTACCAAGTTAGAAATTTCTATGATAAAACCCTCCACATCTGACAAGTGCCAGAAATCTCAATGCCTTTTTCATTATCTTAATTCTTGGGGGAAAAAAATCGAGTAAACATAATGAATGATACAGAGCTTTCACAGCAGAGGCATAAGTTCTCAAGACACATAAGGTTTATACAGAAAATAAACATTACTTCTCATTTTGTTCTGTAAAGGTCCACCTCAGATAGTGCTAACTCCTTCTTTCCCAAATGCAATTTAAAAACAAATAGAAATCTACATAAAGACAGTCAGAAGATAAATTAGCTTAATCTGGAAAACTTATTTTTATATTTAATACCCCAGATTTATGAGACAAAGTGTAGCTTCTAATAAACAAAAGATACATTCATAACAGCAAAGAAAGCCATTTTTTGTTTGGCCTAAAACGTTAAAATATAAGATACATTAAATGAAAAATCTTATTTACCCATCTTGCTTAAATTGGGTTCAGTCTTTATTCTAAATTCCCAATGTTGACAGGCTTTACCACTTTACTTTATAAGCCCTCAAGTCCTCTATAGAGTGCACTCCTACTCCTCTACAAAAGCTTCCCTAGGCCAGTTTTAATAAATGAATGTCAATCATACCAAAAACCTTATTTAAGGAATTTATCAACATATAATTATGCAATCATACATCCAAAAACATCATGCTTCTAAATTGAGAGTCTGAAGGGAAACCCAACAAAATTGTTTTCTGTTTATGTTTTCAATAGTCAAAGCACAAAAGCACCTTCAACTCAAAGTGTAATGTATATATTTAATCATGGCTCCCAGCTTAAGCCTAACATTAGAATTTTTTTCATTTGCAGTTAACAACAGTGTTCTGGCTCTTACCTGTATATCCAGCATACCATCCCCAGGAAGCCACCATTCCTAAAAGCCATTTATACATGATGCCTTCAAGATACCAGAACCGTTTACTGTCCAGCATTCGCAGGGGCTGAAGTACAATCACATAGCAGATGTAGGATGGAATTGCAACCAGGTTGTTGACGACCATGAAGGCAAACCTCAGCAGCGCTTTCACCAGGATCCAGCCCAGCCACGGAGCTTCTTCCAAAGTCATAGCCATTCTCACATTGGAGTCCGTCCGGCTTTTCTGGAGTGAGAGGAAAATGCATTTAAAAAGGAAAATGAATTAAACACATCTGAACAGTCGCCGGCATAGAAATCACCTCCACAAAAATAAAGGAAGGAGCGAGGGTCTGAGCTTCCCGGTGTAGTACCTCGGCAATCTCCCGGGGAAATTCCAGAGGGGGACGGAGAGCGAAGGAGGAGGAGCCGCACAAGGTCAAGGGAGCTGTTCGCCGAGGCGCGGGCTATGTCATAATATATTTAGCAAATGATAATACATTCCCACTTGCGGGCCGAGCGGCCCGCACCGCCTCCCACTGCGGTCGTCTCTTTGGACTTTAAGGAAAAGAGAGCCCCTAGCTCCAGTCGCCCTCAGTGCCTCCGCACTGACGCCACGCGGGAGCGACTCAGGAAACCGGGACCTCAAGGTGTTCGACTCCCCAGACCCGAGCACCGCGGTCTCCCCCAGCCCATCCTGCACATCAACCCATTCCCTTAAAGCGGCTCTCGCAGGAGCCAGCGTTCCGCTCGGCATTTTCAAGTGCACAAAAGGGTTTTTTCTTTCTTTTCAGAAAAAAAAAAGGGGGGGGCTAGAAAACGAAGCAAAAAGGTGAGAGGAAGAAGGGGGGGATGAAAAAGCCAAAAGAGGAAGGGCAGAGGTGGGGGAGGGGAGCAACGCCGGGGGCGGCGAAGGCGGAGGGCCAG